AACACAATTGGAGAAGCCCAGGCGCTGGACGAACGGCGAACAATGCCAGCTGAAAGAATCTCGTCCAGCAACCGTCAATTACCTGCCTTTTGGCCTGGCTGACGGGCCTGGCGTTGCACTTCAAAGGAAGCGCGTCGCCAGTTTCGATCGAATGGCTCACCAAATCGGTACAGCTGGGTTGATCGGTGAAGAGCTCATCGTATTCGCGTAACAATGCCGACAGACGAGCCTTCTGTATATCATTCGATTGAGTCGCACAGGCGATCAAAGGATGCGGAGCCTCTTCGTGTCGTGCTGCTCGATCCCGATGGGGATTGTGAGCCGACGAGTGCATAGCGCAGGGGCCTCCCCCGAAGCTTGCACGTGACACGGTTTCGACGCTTCAACTGCACAGGCAACCGAAAGCGCCAGTGGGCTGATGAACGGCTTTAGCTCCAAAAAAGGTCCGTCGCGATAGCCTCCATTCGCTATGTCCACTACGATACCGGTTTTTCGGAGAAAGTCCCAACCAAGAATCACAGGAACACTAAGCCCTGGAAGATGAACGAAACGCGCGCGTCTCATTCGGCCTCCCCTCGCAGGAGGCCGAATGAGACGCGCGCCAACAGTTAACCTCGCGGCGCCCGCCGACTAGGCCACGCCTTTCGCGAGGATGAACGTCGTTCGGCTGTCCCGCAGGCGCACCGAGCGCTTCTGCAAGTGGGACAACACCTGGTCGCCAAACAACGAGACGCTAGCACCCGTGTCCAGCAAAGCCGAAAATTCACGACCGGCAATGGTGACCGGAATGAATTGCACGTGCGCGCCAGAAAGAGTGCTTGCCCGGTACGCAGAGGGGAGAAGCAAGGGTTCGGCCGCTCGTGCTTTCACGAACGGCCCGCGCTCCCGTTTCCCTGCCTCACAGGAGGCACAAATGCGGAGCACTCCCTCGCTGTGTGCCCTCGTTGACGACAGCGGAAGCAGCGCACTCCATCGCGATCCCTTTCCCGAGACGGAGCAGCTTCGAGCTGCCGGGGTCGGTTCGCCGCGTGATCAAAGGAACCGCTCTTACAACCGTTACCACCAGTGATGCGCTGGGTTGGATTTCGTCCCTGCTCGCGCACGTCGAGTTGCGATGCAGCACCGGCTGCACGCCTCCCGTACGTGTAGGGATCTAAAGCTCGATCGCTTATCTCCCACGTGCGCCCACCTGTAGCGGTAGCCGCAAAGGCAGCTCCAGCGGGTTGTTGCCGCTGAGGAAGGGCCATGGCCCCTCCCCACGCGCTGCGTGGTTCGACGGCCTCACTGGCTGGCGGTGGCGGGCGATAGGAATGTGCGGCGAGAATGTCGCCTTGGATGCGCTTTGCTTCGACGGCCAATTCCTCCAAATCACGGAAGCGACTGCCGCGCAGGTATGCCGAAAAGCTCGGGTGTGCCTGCCTAATCACCCGTTCGACGTGCTCCTCGTTCGAGGTTCTGGGCTCAGCGATAGAAAAAAGGTCTTCCATCGCGCGTACGTACTCCTGAAGTGACTTAGCAGGAGCTTGCGTGCGGAGCTCGAGCTCGCGACGCATTCTACTCTCGTACTCAGCGGGTAAGAATTCGCGCAGGAAGGCCGCGCGGAACTCATCGAGGGTTGCTGCTCGGTGGCCGGAAAGCCGATGCCACCTGGCCGCCGTGTCAGTCAGTGCAGCCGAGACGACGCGTCCGAGCACTTCCTGGTCGTCTAGACCCATGGCTCTTTGATAACATGTGAGGGAGTCCAGGTAATCTCTTGCACTTTGCAGATCACCATACCCGCTGTAGGTCGGAACGGCCAACATGACAGCGGGATGAGGGCGTTTCGGAACAGCCAAAAGCGTTTGGACTGCCCCTGTGAGTGCCTGAATCATTTGGGCGGCATTTTGCAGCAGCGTCTGTGCGCCCGCTTCAAAGGAAGCTTTCTGTGCACTAGCGGCGCGGGTGAGCGATGGGGAACTGTCTCCGAGCTCGATAAGCGGCGCGGTTTCAAAATGGATACCAGCCGTCGCGACTTTGGGGAGCGCCTGTTTTTCACAGCTGACTCTTGGGGCAGCTTAACGTGAAAATGCTAGGCCGCTTGCGGCTAGCGGTGCAGGCGCGTGCTCGAAATGAGCTTGGCTGGCAGGTTGCGTAGCAGCCAGCGGGCAAAATTCGGCAACAGCTGAGGCCGCGGTGCCGATCTGCGCCCCGGAAGCTCCACTGAGAGCCGTTTCAGAGCGCTGTGACATGGAACTGCCAGGCATTCCAAAGGGAGCAGTAGTAGTCCAATTTGCCTTTGTGCACTTTTCGGGTTGGGCTATGGCCCCGGACCTAAAACACGCTACCTCTCCAGTGGGAGCTGATACGTAGCGCCTCATGTCATCCCGACTGGGGCTTGTGACAAGTGAGGGTGCGCGATTGTGATGCTCAAGGGGGGCACTGGCCCTGTTCTTGAGCAATGCGGTATCTGCTAAAAGCGTCAGTGGACAGAACTTACGCGGAGCAGACATAACGCGGGTAAACGCGGCGAGCCTGATTCGCAAAGGCGGGCTGACTCGGCTAAGACTAATGAAAGGCTTAATGAGCCTTTGATACCGTGTTGGGCGCCAGTATGGTGACCCCGCTACTAACTGCAGCGGACGATCACAGCGGGTCCACGCTTAGCGCGCCACAGGGCCGCTACTCCGTTTACTCGCGTGTAGCGCACCGCTCCGCGTGCGCTCATCTAATAAGGCGTTTAGCGCGGCGCGGCAAATAGACAGTGCTCTAATGCAAAAATACACAACACTTTATTGCCGCTGGCGGCACCCCGAACAACAGTACAACGTCCGCTCCCGGGACGCAGGTAGCAAAGGCACCCGCACGCGGACATTCACAATAAGGGGGAAACCGTGAGCACGTCGCAGCTTGCAAGGGCGAGCTTTGACACGCCAGTCGGGAAAAGGTCCCTCGCGGCTATGCTGCGCACTCTCACGATGGCCAATAGGCCTGGTCGCGAGTGTTAGGGCAAACCTCGTACGCGTAGGCCTACGGCAAGTGCGGCTCGTTGTGGTACGACCACTTCAAGCACTAGGCATCGCTGTGGGCTTAACGTACGCTACCGAAGCTAGCACTCAAGTAAACACGCCTGCTGAGGTGCCCAAGGCCACCCCAGGCAGGCTACAGTCCGACGATTCCCAAAGGGGACGCGGACGAAGGAAAACACGTGCTTACCCGGCGCCGACCACGGAGAAAAGAGTGCTCCCTTGGCGCGCGCGTACCGCGTGCCGTTCCTGCACTTGGCGCCATCTATCGCCACGCGTCGTTATCAGAGCAGGAAAAGCAAAAGGTTGTGGCCGTGCGGCGGAATGTCCGCGAAATGGTCGCAGGCGCGCCTCAGATCCCCACAGCGTCCCGACAGAACAGCAAGCCCCAGAGATCGAAACACGCCTCGCTTGTTTGTGTTGATGATGATGGCGGCTGTGTTGGTGAGCGCCATCTCTTGGATTTTTCTGCAACAAGAAGCACTCGGCCGGCTAGGCTTCTGGTGTTGTCCACACGATGGCGCTTTGCACAAACACGCCAACACGGTGTGCGCTTGCTTTGCTTTCTTTGTTTCTTTGGTGCCGTGCATAGGTGTTCTCTGGTTGATCCGTGCCGTACAGCTCTCGCGTCGTTTTTCACATGTTGTGTATGTGTGCTTGTGCTGCTTCGTACTTGCGTCATGCCGAAGCTGGGACAAAAGCATCGAGTGCTGAAAATAGAGGAGAAATCGGACATAATTCGTGCTATTGAAAGTGGCACGAAAAAATCGGCGCTGGCACACGAAAAAGACCTGCCGTTAACCACGGTGTGTGGAATTGGGAATTCCAGAGAGAAGTTGCTCAGCAGTGCTGCTGAAACTGCGAAAAGGTGCCGGCTAAGAGGTTCGGCGTTTCCGGATCTAGAGGACGCACTGGTGAAGTGGCTAAAAGCTGCACGGTCAAAAAAATCTGCCTATCAGCGGACCCCTGCTCGTGGAGAAGGCCCTGGTTTTTGCCTCGCAGCTCAACCATGACAACTTCGTGTGCAGCAATGGCTGGCTGGCGAGATTTAAGGCGAGGCACGGCATTGCCACGAGGACTGTTTCGGAAGAAGGTGCTGCTGCTGACGTGGATGGCGTAATGCAGTGGCAAAATGGTCAGCTGAAGAACATCTTGGAAGACTACGCACCAGATGACATCGTTAATATGGATGAATCGGCGCTATTCTTTAAGCTGCTATCGGACAAAACACTCGCGTTCAAAGGCGAGACGTGCACCGGCGGCAAGCATGCAAAAGACAGAATATCAGTGGCGTTTTGCGTAAACATGACTGGAACCGACAAAACTCTACTCCTCGTGATTGGAAAGTCAGCAAAGCCTAGATGTTTCAAAGGCATTCGGTTGCCATCAGGGGTCATCTATCGCAGAAACACCAAAGCATGGATGACGGCAAAACTCTGAGGAGTACGTGCGCCTCATTGATTGTCGTTTTGCGGCTAAGAACAGAAGAGTTATTATTTTAGACAACGCTTCGGCGCACGTCGCCCTGGACAACCTGACGGCTGTGAAGTTGGCGTTTCTGCCACCAAACACAATAGCGATTGCACAGCCTTTGACCAAAGCATCATTCGAGCTGTAAAACAACTTTGCAAAAAGAATCTGCTGCGCAGATTTCTGCTCGCCATTGAATGTGGCAAATTATTCTCCATCGACCTGATTGGCGCAATTCACCTGCTCGAATACTCGTGGCGGCAGGTTGAAGCAACGACCGTTCGAAATTGCTTCAAGCATGCTGGCTTCAGTGTGTGCGGGCGACCAGATGACGCCAGTGATTTCGGTTATTTTATTTTTGGTTAAGCAGTACTAACGTTTAGTACGCACTTTTTTCGAGCTCCGGCCAACTACGGTTTAACGAGGTTTTACTGTACCCATTACTATATACTCTGCGTTCTCTACCATTCACATTGATCACACGGAAGAAAATATTTAATTGTCTCCGGCTTTGATCAATGATTGCAGGTGCAGACCGCATGTCCTCATTTGGTGACTTCCTTGCATTGTCTGACGAGTGCGATGCAGCGACAGCTAGGATTGTGTCTCGTGAGGTAGGTGTCCGTTTCTAAAAAAAACTTTAAATTTTCGTGAAGTACTGACAACTCCAGCCTCAATCCTCGTTACCGTCACTATGCGCTGCTTCATACTAGTTCACCACAAAGTTTTCTTGCACCTCGAACTCTAATAGAGCTATTCGTCGGGTCTCATGTGAAACAAACCGTAAGCCTTAGCACTAAATAATTAGTGCTATCACGAGTGTCTGCAACCCATTTGAGTTATGCACTTCTCATAGTTGTTTCAACCAAGTAGGGGGAAAACCACATGCTGTGAGGCAAATCTGTACCATCTTCAGAAGGTCAACGTCCTTGCCTTTTTCAACGGGCCTCCTCCCTCTTTTCTAGTAGCGTGCGATTTAAAGAAATCATGCAGGGAGCTTGAACTAAATTATGCACAACATAAAACAACTCATCACGCACCATCTTTGTCTGATTGCTTCTTTCTAGCTGCTAGCACAGTCGTGCAATGCCTGCATGCCCGTTAAAAAATGTGGTTCAATGTGCAGTTCCAATTTATTCATTCCCTGGTTTGCTGGTACTTGCTGCAGGTGTCTGATGGTGTCATTGCACCAAGCTACTCGGATGAGGCTCTGGCAATCTTGAGCAAGAAGAAGGGCGGCAACTACTGTGTGCTCAAGGTGAGAATTCACATTTTGCAGGTTTCAGTTTCTTTTAATTTTCTAAAGCACTGGCACTAGAAGTGAGTAACCAGCTCCTCCTTATTGATGGCACCTGCTCTGCGGGCAGAGTGCATGTTCGATGTCGCTGACATTTCAGCAATCATTTCCGGTGGGGAGCTGTTGGTATTGTTGCTTCAAAAAGCAATGAAGCGGTGTGTCTTGAAGTTTGCTCTTGCCAAGCAATGACTTTTGATCTCAAAATCTGATCAAGGGGAATGAACTCTGCGTTAGTGGTGCATTGAAATGTTTGAGCATTATGACCCATTTCTCAAAATTGCAGTGTAAGACAAATTGTTTCACAGTGTTCCATTATAATCAATAGTGCTCAGTGGTTGAGGAGGCTTTTCAAAATGTTTCATGTATTAGTCTTAGCTGTAACAAGTTACAAAGACTCGCAGTGCTTTATTGGACTAGAATACTTTTACTCATTGTCCTGTTGTGCATGACTGCTATACCTACACCACAGAACAGGCATACCTTACATGATGATGATGATGAATAAATTTTTATTTTGGTGCAGAGAAGACATTGGTCTTTATCCTGTGACATGGTGTATGGGCCGCTGCGCAGTCAACATCATGTCTCCCTAATCTTCATACTGTATGTTACATGAAGTACTGGAACAGCTAAAATTTTTTCAGCGTAAATTGCACATCACCTGCTATCATACAATTATAGAGTTGGTGTTCTGGACGACAGTTGAATGCCAACAAGTGCAATGTTGGCAGTTATGTGGGAAATTTTGAAGCTTTTCCTCCTTTGCAGCACTGTGACTCAAAGGCATTGGAGCTCTATCTTGATGAACATAATCATTCTGAGAAAAGCTGATCTTCTCCATTTCTGCTAGATGGATGCGAACTACGAGCCGACGCTCATGGAATCCCGCACGTTGTTCGGCCTGACACTTGAACAACGCCGCAACGATGCCAAGATCAATCGTGATCTCTTCACTAACATTGTGTCAAAGACCAAAACGGTGAGCACTTGTTCACTTGGTTCTTTAATACAGTAAACTCTCATTGAAGCGAACTCGGTTAAGACGGATTCTTGCTTACAACAAATGACAATGGAGTGTTTGTTTGGTTTCCCATAGGCTGTATGTGAAAGAAATCTGCTTAAGACGAACCGTGTAACAGGCCTCTTCTGTTAAGACGAACTATTGCAGTGATGGACAATGACGGGGATTCTGTGCAACGAACACTATAAGTCTTGATGGAGGCATTCAGGCGAACAAAAGAAAGCGAAATGAAAAAATAAGAAACCTTCCTTGTGCAAAGACTCAAAACAAATAGAAAGCAAATTGCGACATGGAGAAAGAAAGCGAGGTAAGCGAAAAAGAAAGCGAAAACACAAGATCTTGACTAGAGCGGAAAATGCAAGGGAAGGGGGGCAAAAAAAAGTAGTATGAAAATTAAAAGAGAACAAAGATTGTCTGTACATTATAATCGCATGAAATGGAAACCACATATGCAGCACTAGCACTTCCATCAACGGAGTCGGATACATTGCCACTGCCATTACACAATGCCGCCTGAGCACATGTTGGTGTCAGTTTGCATTGTTTTGCATAGGGCGTGGGTGCGTCATATTTGTTACCAGTGAAATTCACCAAATTGAGATGTACAATTTTTATTATGGAAGTGCAGGACAAACGAAGGTCAATTTGCACACTAAGTACAGCTGCGTCGTGTCTTTTTTGTGTCCCCAAATTTTTTTCGCGATTGTGAGCAGCAGAAACGGAGATTTTCAGCTGCACGTTGTTCACGAAAAGTTATTGCGGGCTCAGAGCTTGCAGACTTCTATTAGCTGCTTGGTGCATATAGGCTTTTTCAAGGTAGCAGTATGCAATGGAGGCCTATCCAAAAGTGATAGCAAAGCCAGTAAAACAGGCTCTCAGAAGGTGAACAACCTGAAAAATAACTTTTCCATTCTTTGAAGGAAGAATCTGCTTGTCTCTTGCTTTTTATCTTTTTCTAATCGTCGAAATAGGGTCGTGCTGCAGTTTTATTGTTAAAATGTAGTGGCAATTTATTCATGAGCATATTTGTTGTGAACTCGCACAATTGAGTACTCATTAGCTTTGTCTAAATATTTTACTTGAAAGCATAGTTTTTATTAAGCTGAGCCAAATAAATGCTCTTTATTGTTCCTTCCTTTCCTCCCTATTATAAGTATACTTCATGCACTGTTTCTGAGCAACATATTTGGGGTTACTTAGCACATTAGCATTTGGTTTTGGGGGGCACTCCTGGTAAGACGAACTCCTGATAATACGAACAAATGATCGTGGTCCCTTCGAGTTCATCTTAAAGGGAATCTCTTGTAGCTTGTTTAAGTCTGTAAGCTGTCTTCAGCTTTAGATGTACTACGACTATCTAGTGCACAGATTGAGAGAATGTTACACACAGACATGCAGTCAAGAAGCAGAGTGTAATATCTATGTTGCTCATGATGCCAATAGCATCATATAGATATTACTCTCTTCAATCACTTGAAGATAATGTACTACGAAAATTCAGTGCCCGTGCTCCATACCTGCACGTATGAAATGAAGTTGTGCATCTCTCACAGCACGGAAAATTCTCCTGTGTGCTGCAGCTGCAAACGGGCAGCACCACTGTTAAAGCATTGAACATTTGCACACACTAACCGTGATAAAGCATTACTCTGCTAAGTTAGTTACATGCTGTAGTGTATATAATGAGCAGGCTTGTGCCAATATTAAAACGCTTCAAATATTCGAAAAAGTAATGCAGTATTTTAATTCACTTTGAAATAAATTTAATATATTGAAAATTTTGAATTATTCGAAACAAACGAATAAATGCATATTAATCCACATGTGTGATTTTGTAAAGGTGGTTTCATGGCAGTATAGCAATGCTAAGCCATGAAAACATGTATCCAGGGGAAACCCGCACTGCCACAAAGCCCCACTTCAAGCTTAAATGAGAATATTGCCCTCCCCACAGGGGCGCCTGATAAAGCAGGCGTTTGGTGTGTAGCGACACCACGGACCCGAGCTAACGGGGGAGTTTCTACTCCCTCCCACGCCTAGCCGTGCGTGGCTTTGCCGTGTCCGGGGAAAAGGGAATCCTGGGGGTTGAGCTGACGCTGGGTGATTGGACCTTTAAGGCCCCCCGGCAGAGGCAACACACCCCTTTGGCCCCGGCTTCACGTAGACGGCACCCCTGGGCTGACCCACCCAGGGGAAATCGGCAGTCGCCTTTTCCTATCCCTCTCTCCCTACATCTTCGTCTTTATCTCTTACTATTTATCTGTCCTGTCTTTTACTCTCTTCCGTTTACTTCCAAACTTCCTGGCGGCTAGGGTTAACCCTGTGCAAATAGCCTACCTTGGTCTAGGTGCATTGGGTTATAGTGGCGTTGTACGGCTGGCGTCTGCGGGTTTCAGCATCCGTAAACTTGCAGCGTCCCCTCGTTGGGCTCCGTGGTGGGTGGCCGCCAACGCTACTGAACAACATACAATTAGCATGCACAAAGCATTTCCTTTACTTAATCGTGCCTCCTCAAAGCAGGTACGCACCGAAGATATCAATTTTTTCCTCCGGCCAAGACAAACCTTTCCTCATTTCCACGTTATACACTGCGAAAAAACTAACAAGCAAGCCAGAACAGTATCCCCCTTCGTAGTGGCTAGGTCCTTAACCGAAACTCTCGGTGCCGGGTACAAGGTTACCAAAATGGCCAGTGGAGATCTACTCCTTGAAATACGTGACAAAGACCAATTCGATAAACTGAACACCCTCACAACGTTTGGAGACACACCCATCAGTATTACGCCACACAGGTCTATGAACTCATCTTGCGGGGTCGTTTCGGACGCAGATTTGCTTGACCTGACCGAAGCTGAACTTCTTGAAGGATGGAAGAGCGAGAACGTGACAAACGTACAGCGTATTAAGATAAGAAGAGATCAAAAGGAAATACCAACAAAACACTTAGTACTGACCTTTGCTTCGAGCGATTTGCCGGAAACAATTCAGACTGGGTACACAAAGACATCTGTGAGGCCATATATTCCCAACCCCCGCCGTTGCTTCCATTGTCAGAGATATGGCCACGGCTCGCAAAGCTGTCGTGGCCAGAAAACTTGTGCTATGTGTGGAGTCGTGGGCCACGCGTCTGACAACTGCGAAGCACCTGCACACTGTGTAAACTGTGGCGGTAATCATGCCACGTACTCACGTTCTTGTTCTTTCTGGAAAAAAGAAAAAGAAATCATCACTTTAAAGATAAAAGAAAACATTACATTTAAAGAAGCAAGAAAAAGAGTCTCGCCATTTTATGGCCCTACATATGCTGATGCGGCGCGCCAGGGGGCAGTGTCGCACCAGCCCTCGCCACTCCTTCGGCCTGCGCAGAGCGAGCCATTGGCTGTGGCGCCTGCCCCCAAGGCGGCAGTAGTTGAGTCTACTCCGCCTACTATTGAACAGAGACCAGGGACTCCAGGGTCCTCGGGTCTCAAGGCCTCACCTCGCCAGGCGAGGCCCAAGCTTCGAAAAACCAGCTCGCATGAGCGGGCATCCAGTGCCTCCGAGGAGGCAATGGATACGGCGGCACCTCTGGTGCCAAAAGAGCGGGGCGGCTCTCTGGAGCGCGCCAAGAAAACCAAAAAGCTAATAACAGGGCCTGATAATAGCCCTGCTACTTGAGCTCGACCTTTCAGCTTAAACAAGTCACTTCCTTAACGTACACACAGCACTACTTTACTTCCAATATGAAACCACAAATTATACATTGGAACGTCCGAGGCCTGCTTAAAAACCTCGACGTCGTCCAAGAGCTTTTATACAAACACTCACCTCAAGTGCTGTGTGTACAGGAAACACACCTAAAATCCTCCAATACAAATTTTTTACGTGCTTACGTCATATACCGAAAGGACCGAGATGATGCTGTGGTGTCATCCGGTGGCGTAGCCATTATTATTAACCAAGGAGTAGCGTGTACACATTTACCACTCCAGACATCCCTTGAGGCGGTGGCTGTTCGAGCGGTACTTTTAAACAAACTCGTCACCATTTGCTCTTTGTATGTACCTCCCCACCACCGTCTTGAAAGACGTGAATTTCAGTCTTTAATAGACGAACTGCCTGAACCCTATTTGCTTCTTGGCGACCTATAGGAAAGAGCCAACCTACTATAACGTTGCCAACAAAACTTGCTCGTCTATAGACCTCAGCATCGTATCACTTTCACTTCTACCCCTATTGAAATGGAAAATCATAAACAATCCATATGGAAGTGACCATTTTCCTGTAGTGTTGAGTTCACAAACAACATATGAATGTCCTCTACATGTTCCCAAATGGCTGATAAACAAAGCAGACTGGGAACGGTTCCACAACACTACACGTTTTAGTTGGACAGACATATGTAGGTTAAACATAAATGAAGCTGTGAAGTACTTCACAGCTTTTCTAACTGACGCAGCAGCCAGGTGCATACCGCAAACATCTGGAATGCCCGGCAAACGACACGTCCCATGGTGGAACACGGAGTGTCGTAATGCGCGAAAGGAACAGAACAGGGCATGGAGATTGCTGCGCAACTCGCCAACAGCGGAAAATCTTGACACGTTCAAGAAAATAAAGTCTCAAGGAAGGAGAACGCGTCGGCAGGCCAGAAGAGAAAGCTGGCAGAAGTTTTTGTCAGGGATCAATTCATACACACAGGAGGCAAAAGTCTGGAACATGGTCGGTAGGATAGCAGGGAAACAAGTAGACACACTTCCACTCGTAAACACTCAAGGTGATACCTTGAAAGATCAGGCAAACTTCCTCGGGGCACACTTTGAACGGGTATCCAGCTCGTCCCACTATACTGACACTTTCCAAAAATACAGAACAAGAATAGAAAAGCAGAAACTCGAACACAAATCCACTAGATACGAGGCATATAACCAAGCTTTCAGTCTAGCGGAGCTCCGAACATCTCTAAACTCCTGCAGCACTTCTGCCCCAGGTTCTGACCGTGTGGTGTATGAAATGCTAAAAAACCTACCAGCCGAAACACGAAAAACCCTACTTTGTTTGTACAATGCTATCTGGTTTTCTGGCACTATCCCTACCTCCTGGAAAGAGGCTATTATTATTCCCATTTTGAAAGAGGGCAAGGACCCTTCTTTAGCTTCAAGTTATAGGCCTATTGCACTTACAAGCTGCTTGTGCAAAGTATTCGAAAAAATGATTAACTGCCGACTTGTACATATCCTTGAAACAAACAATTTGCTCGACCCATTTCAGTGCGGGTTTCGAGAAAGTAGATCCACCACAGACCACCTTGTTCGTATCGAGGCACAGATCAGAGACGCCTTTGTCCATAAACAATATTTTCTCTCTGTGTTCCTCGATATCGAAAAGGCGTATGATACAACATGGCGTGTCGGAATTCTAAGAGACCTGTCCCACCTTGGTGTGCGCGGAAGAATGTTTCATATAATCGAAAGTTACCTGTCAAACCGGACATTCCGTGTCCGTCTGGGCAGTGTGCTCTCTCAAACATTTGTCCAGGAAACAGGCGTGCCACAAGGTGGCGTGCTTAGTTGCACACTTTTTATTATCAAAATGAATTCTTTGCACTTGTCCATTCCCCGCAATATGTTCTATTGTACATATGTCGACGACGTTCAGCTTGGCTTCAAGTCATACAACTTGGCCATGTGTGAGCGGCAGGTTCAGCTGGGTTTAAATAAGGTCTCTAAATGGGCAGATGAAAACGGATTTCGACTTAACCCACAAAAAAGCACGTGTGTCTTGTTCTCTCGAAAGAGAGGCATGCACTCGGAACCTGACATTCGACTGAACGGGCAACGTATGTCCGTCAAAGCCGAGCATAAATTCTTAGGCTTAATCATGGACAACAAGTTGACCTTCGTACCGTACATCAAGTATTTAAATACAAAATGTTTAAAAGCCATGAATGTTATAAAAGTGTTGTCACGTACTACGTGGGGTAGTGATAGGCAATGCCTCATGAACCTCTATAAAAGCCTCATTCGCACCCGCTTAGATTATGGGGCCGTTGTCTATCAGTCTGCTACTCAAAGTGCCTTGAAGATGCTGGACCCCGTGCACCATTTGGGCATCCGCCTTTCTACGGGTGCTTTTCGCACCAGCCCCGTAGAAAGCCTTTATGTTGAGTCAAATGAGTGGTCGCTTCATCTGCAAAGAACCTACATGTCCTTTGTATAGTTCCTTAAGGTGAAAGCAGACAAGAGGCACCCCTCATACTCTACTATTAATGACTTGTCGAGCTCCATTCTTTTTCAAAACAGGCCTTCAACGAGGCAGCCCTTCTCAGTTCGCCTGAAGGGTCTAGCTGAGGACACTGGAGTGTCACTCGAACACAGTTTAATCGCTCCTGTAGCATACCCGCCACCGTGGCAGTGGCAGACTATAGATTGCGATGTGTCTTTTTTAGAAGTTACTAAACATGCGCCTATTGCCCATATTCGAACATACTTCTTGGAACTTCAACACAAATACACACGTCATGAGTTTTTTACAGATGCCTCTAAGTCTAACTCCTCTGTGTCCTACGCTGCTGTTGGCCCTTCCTTTTCGGATGCTGGCCCTCTACATCCAGGCACAAGTATCTTCACAGCGGAAGCTTACGCGATACTTGTGGCAGCTAAACACATCAAACAATCACAAATACAAAAAGCAGTAATTTATACAGACTCCCTCAGTGTGGTAACGGCTCTGCACAGTCTTAAAAAAACAAAAAAACCCCGTCCTCGTTTCACTTTACTCCATTTTATGCACCCTCTACACACTCAACAGACATGTTGTTGTGTGCTGGGTGCCAGGGCACCGTGAGATTCAAGGCAACGTGATGGCGGATCAGCTTGCTGCATCCGCCCACGAAAGCACCGCCACTACACCGACATCAATCCCGGCCCTTGATCTTAAGCCGTCTCTCAAACGAAAACTCAGGGACTACTGGCAGAGCAAGTGAGATGCACACACACAAAACAAACTACACGTTATCAAGCCACACCTTGGCCATTGGCCACCAGTATCAAAATCACGTCTAACAGAGGTAACACTAACAAGACTCAGGATAGGACTCATATACACGACACACACACATCTTTTGCCCGGTGGTGATCCACCATTGTGTGATAAATGTGGTGAGGCATTAACAGTTCTTCACGTTTTAATTCAATGTAAACATTTAGACACTCTAAGAAGACAACACTTCCCACTATCCTACCGACAACATATACCTTTACACCCTGCAATGTTCGTCGGTAGGGAACCGCTTTTTAGTCACAAATCATTATTAGCGTTTTTAAAGAAAATTCATAATTTTCATATCATATACCCGGGCATACCGTAGCACAACCTCTCTAGAGAGGTTTTTGCTGCGGTGGCTACACAGGAAAGCACTTGCCTCACGGCCCTTGCACGCAAGGGTACTAACGTGTGAGGTACTTGTGCTAATGCCACACATGTCCACCATCGTTTTTCATTATCACCAACTTTTGTCACCTATTCACACCACACACACCTTTCACGGCATGGTCATGATTTTATTACTTGTATGTTTTTACCCGCTTTACTGCGAGAAATCTTATGGCCCTTATACAGCCGCTAATCACAACCATTGTCCACATTCCTGCCTCATGAACTGGCGCTCTTTGGCCATCAAATGGCCCTTGCGCCAAAAAACACCATATATCATCATCAGAATATTGCCCTCACATCAATTCATTTATTTTTTAAGTTTAAAATCCTTGTATACCTACTTTAAGTATAGCAAATTTTAAAAAGTAACATATCTTACGGGCTAACGCTTGCATTCTAATGAAAATCGAATTATGTTACTTTTCAAAGTTTTTGCCGCTTTCTTTGATACAAAAGAAATTGTATTTGCACAGGTTTGTTAGGTTGTGCAGATTCGTTATATTGTGCAGGTTTGTTAGGTCATGACCAATATGCACATTTTTTTATAATATGGGGCATATATGCTATTCGAATTTGATTTGAAATTATTCAACCAAAAGCGCTATTCGCTTTGAATTCACTTTGAACCTGAAATTCACTATTTGCACAAGCCTAATAATGAGCGTTTAAATACTTGTGATTTTTAAGTTGTCTTGGCAACTATGAAAGCCTAGGCTTCACGCTACAAGCTCACTTCACTGGCGCTTTGCCCATTCTAATCAGTCAAACACGATCCTGGTCTACAGGAACACTGAAGATGCCAGGAAAGGCCATTGGCACAATGCTAGCGCTGAGTAGGCTCCGCAAACAAATTACTGCGCGCATACCTTGGCACTGTGTGGTGGTTTTCTGTGTCCTTTCTTCATACTGCGGCGTACTGAGTCATCAGAAACTGCAGATATTGAGAGAAACTTTAACAAAGCAGTGCAGGACTTGGAAAACACTAATGAATGAATGTGCTTGCTTAAAGCTGGCAAATTAATAATAATGACTGACTAGCGGGAGAACCTGTCAAGAGGATCAGGTGTTTTTTAAACTTTATTTTGTATCAATACGAGGTGCAGGTAACAGGAACGCAGACAAAAAGTCACATATCAGCTTTACAATGTCTGTGAATTTCACTGACAATAGGCAGCAAATGTGTGAAATTGTTTGGAATACTGTACTACTCACTCCCTATGTTGTACATTTGCTGCTGAATCCAGGGCCAGTTGTTTAATGTAGAGATATCTAAAGGAATTTCAAAAGTAAATCTTTCATGAAAAAACTAAAGGTCAGTGGAACTAGTAATGTAAAATCTAGACGGTGAACTTTTCTTTTGGGGTGAGCAAAGTACCTACCTATATCAAGCTATGTGGCTGTGAATGAAAGCAGTAGCAACAGTAAATTTCAACTGCATGTAAACTTACATTCGTCCCTCTGTAACCCAGCTGCCAGAGGCTGCCATCCGAGATTTGATCGTGGCCACGATAGCCCTCAAGTACACCCAGTCCAACTCTGTCTGCTATGCGAAGGATGGACAGGTAGGTGCTTTTGTAATGAAGGTCGATTAACGAGTGTTTTATGTGAAAAGGGCAAATTGGCATTCGTTTCTTTAGAGCAGGAAGTTACCAAGGATATTTATGCGGATTTCTCAGAAAGGAGGATCGCTTGTTAGCCAAAAATTTTGTCCTGGTACATGATTTGAGGCCTGATCTATGACTTTTACGGTGCTGCCATCCTACCACCCGACGTAGCCAGTAGTCTCAGTTGATAGAGGCACTACTAACCCTTGTACCGCATCTGCTGGTGTAATTTTCTTCGTTCAGCGAACTGGGAGCGCAGAGAAAACACAAAGGACGAAGGGTGCTGGTGTAATGATTTGCTGAAAAGGTAGCTAAAGCAATCACCCTGGAAGGGTGTTGGTTCTGGGTTCCTATCCTGCGCCAGGATAAATTTTGCCCAATTACCTGTTCTTGGGCTTCCCTTGCTTTCCATGGATGCAATGCAGCCAAGCTTCAGTGTCAAGAGACAGGCATATGAAATGTGCTGTTCATTGGTAAATAGTACTGTAGAGGCTGCACCTTTTGCATTAGTTATGTGTGTGTTTAGATCTCTGATGTCCTTCTATATGTCAATGCATCATTCCTAAGGGACCTGAAATGTCGCATCCTTTTTGTAGGTTATTGGCATTGGTGCTGGCCAGCAGTCTCGAATTCACTGCACACGACTTGCGGGTGACAAGGCCAACAACTGGTGAGTCGAACTGTTACTGCAGTGCATGTGTAGAAGTGGATCAGTAAGTCGGAGATAAAAAAATTGTGTTGGACTTTGGCAGAAATATTAATATTCCTGTCTAACACCAGTGTCTTCTGCAGTCAGCAACTTTTCGTTTGTAGGCTTGTGAAAGTAGCGAATCGTGAATTCGAAGTGCATAGTCACTTTGGTTGAATAGAATCGGAGTAGTAAAGATCACTTATTACAGAAAAAAAAGAGGCATATTTGTCATATATGAAATAACCTGCACAATACTTTTTTTAATTGAAACAAAGCCTGTGCAAATGCTGCATATTCAAACCTATATAAAGTATTGAATCGACATGATCAATCGACAGATTTATTTAACTCTAAAAGGACGCTAAAGGCAAGTGTTAAGTCGATATTGATTGTTAAATTGGCAGTTCAAAACATTGTATTGCTAGCTTTGTGCCAATGAAGTGCTTATTTTAAAATACAGTCATGTTTTAATGGTTCACATCGCATTAGCGCACTTCAAATCACCCGTGTCCGAAAGCAGTCCTTTAGATGTCACTATTACGGTGCCCAACATTGCCTTTACTACGCTTCCGCCTACACCAGTAGCAGCAGAGCGAAAGTAGTGGGAGTTACAGTAGCATCAACGGCCATTGAACAATCTTCTGCAATTTCGGAGGTCAAGGTTCTGCATGCTTGGTGCAACTGGGCCCCGCTAGATGGCACCACCTATCCAGCCTAACCAGCCAAAAACTGAACTTTTAAACCACTCATGCAATTGATTGATATGTGGTGTTTAACATCCCAAAACCACCATATGATTATGAAAGACGCCTTAGTGGAGGGCTCCGGGAATTTCGACCACCTGGGGTTCTTTAATATGCACCCAAATCTGAGCACACGGGCCTACAACTTTATCGCCTCCACCGATAATACAGCCATCACAGCCGGGATTCAATCCTGCGACCTGCGAGTCAGCAGCCGAGTACCTTAGCCACTAGACAACCGCAGCGGGGCCACTTGTGCCACTCTGCACAGTAACATCGGGCTGTTCTTTTTTTCTATAGATCAAACAGAAACGAACAAGCATCATATTATATTACATCTCTTGATGCACAAAAAGTCTTTTTTTGCACCTAGTTTGATTACTAGTACTTAATTGTAGGCGACACTCTCATGTCATCGGGATAATTTTGTAAATGTCCCACTCGTGGTGCATGTTGTGTGATACACTTGGCGGTAAGTTAGGCACTGCTGTTGATAATATTGCCATTTTAGATGCCAAATATTGAGCTTTCACTCTGGCATAAATTGTTGTTTTCCTTTAGTGTCCCTTTAAATTGGGGCTTTGTGATAATGCAGATTTTTTTTTTAAATAAGTGTTTTCATGGCTTGACATTCCTTTACTATGGTGAAACTATCCTCACAAGAGGTTGCATGTGAATTAATATACTTTTTAAGTGCTTTCACGACTTAGCACTCCTCTACTGCAGTGAAACCACCTCTAGTGGCGATTATGTATGGATTTTTATACATCAATTTGTTAATTTCGAATACTTCAAAATTTTCAATAATTTAAATTTAAATTGAAGCAAATTTGAATATTGTAATAACCGTTCAAACATTCAATGCATATGTAGATTCGCACAAGCCTATTCATTTGTAATTTAACCTTGCGTGGGAAATATCAATAGTGCTTGCCCTGGCCACACTGCGATTGATGCTGGTAACACGGTGTGATCGATTAACGCAAAGGTTGTTTAAGAACAGAACACTGAGCAGGGATGGTTGGAATGCAACTACCTAAGTGGAACATACAGTGTACCCTCAGAATGTAGTTAAGACGATGGAAAGCACTGTTTGTCATCTTTGCTAATTCTCTGTTGAATCGTTTTGTTGCGCTTCACTGGTGAAAAGGTTTGTACATCTGTGTACATTTGCGATCGTTAACGTATACATGTTCGTATAGAGCAAGCGCTTCATGGAAATTCATTGATAAAAATTGATATCAAACAGCTGTTTCATATAGTGCAAGATAGCTCTGAGGTATTAGACACAAACCTCATTATAACAAAACTGCATCTTGCACAAAATAAGCTTGTTATATCTGTGCATTATGTAGTTATAAAGGTTTATTACTAAGACTACTATCTATTGCAAGGCTATTCTTAATTTACTTGGTTATAACCAATATTTTATTATATCAGAGTTTTGTATATTGAGGTTTGAGTGTATTGAACATTAGACTTCTTTTTTTTTCCTAATGTACTCAATATGACGGATGGCACAGCCAGTTTCACATCATACATCTAGAACAGGGACAATTAATTTCATATGTATAACACTTGTCGGTTCTGTTTTTGTTGGTCGAGTGTATATATTTGGAAGCATATTGCTGCCGCCTCGTGCACTTAATGGGCAGAAGAGCTACAACTTTTATTTTGTTATCCTTAACATTCCCACGCTGTGGTGGTGGCAGAAAAAAGAGAGCGTAGAAGTTAGTGGCTGCTGTGGCTGAGTAAACGGTCGTTTGCTTCAAGTTTCTGTTCGTCGTTTCCTGTCGTGACAATACAGTCGAACTCCGCTACAACAAACGCCGCTTCAACGAAATTTCCGCTAAAACGAAAAATTCACAATTCTCCGTCAGAAGTCCGTAAGAGTCGATGCATAAGTATTGTCGCCACAACGAACACTTTTTCTTTGAACATCCCGCTTCAACAAAATTTTACGATGCAATTCCAGGCTCAGATACTTATTGCTATGCAGTAAACCCAATCTTTAACATTTTGATCCATTTTCAGAGCCTGAAAATGTGTCAACAAAGTCTAAAACACGTGTTGGCACCACCAGATACTGCCGCTATATTGCCGCTGTTCGGCAAGCACTGGGCACCGCCATTGCTCGATAGTGATGGCAGTGAGACAGCCCTGCTTTTGTTTTTTGCCACTGGCTTGCTTTTGAGCCGCTGACAATCCGAAACTGAAGCTCAGTCGCTCAGGTCGTGTTTTCGTTCTTGCAGCTGCTGGGTGCAACAGCGGCACGATGCCTTTTCAGATTCCGATGCTTATCATTTGTTTGCGTTTGGTCACTGTGGTAGCTAATCAGAGCGGCTGTTCCTCTGCAATATCAACAAAATCAGCTAGCCATGAGTAATGGATGATAAGTAGTAGTAGTAGTACAAAACTTTCTTATATACATAATCCAGACAGGCTTGAACTCCAGTGCCCGAGGAATATACGGCGTGGAGAGCGAAGTCTGTCCAGCAGGGTGGTGCCCCTATTCCAGGGCCCCACTGGCGCGAGCCATCCGTTCAGCTCTGTGGATCGGTCGCAGTTGATCCACTAGGGCTGGGCTAGACAGCAGCGCCTCCCATTCCTCCCACGTGCCAGTGGTGTCGTGTTCTTCATCGTGCTCTGCACACTCCCACGTGATGTTAAAGAGTGTTGGGGTGGCCCCACACTACAGGCATATACCTCTGTACGCCGTGGGGTAGACCAGGTGAAGAGTGTGCAGGTTTATGTAAGTGTTAGTCTGTATTCTTCTTAGTGCTGTTGCCTCCGTAGCGCTGAGCTTGCTATGAGGACGTGGATACAGCTGCCTATTTTCTCTGTAGTACCTTAAAATCGTTGCAAAACAAGGGTCCAGGGGCGTAGGGTCATCACTTGCATTGGCTTGAGTGGCTCGGTGATTTGTAAAGCCTCAAGCTGCCTCGTCCGTGCGCAGGTTCCCTGTCACACCATCGTGCCCCGGTGCCCAAGTCACAGCCTGTACGTATTTCACTGTGGGGTCCCATCCTGTCCCAACCAATATACGGAGCGCCTGTGCTCCAATTTTGCCCTTTAGATAGTTTCTGCAAGCTTTTTGCGAATCTGTAATGATTGTTAATGGAGCGTTTCGCGTCCATCCCTCTTTTATTGCGAGTGCTATGGCAACCTCTTCTGCTTGTGTTGTCGACGCCTGATCTATTGAAGCGCAGGCTGTAATTTTCCCTCTATGGTCGGTGACTACACACACATATCTCTTTGCATTGGTCTGATAAGGCGCGGCGTCAGTGAATCTGGCCGTGTTCAAAAATCTTGCCATTTTGTCAATGTAGTCAGCCCTTGCCTTTCTTCTTCCAGCATGCAGAGTAGGATCCATGTTGCTTGCTATTGGCAATACGGTGTACCATTCTCTAAGTTCGCTTGGTACTTCTTTAGTTTCTTGGTGTGTTTGTAATAAAGTATCGCGCCCTAGTTTTGTTAGGACTGCTCTTCCTGTTGGGGTCTGGAGAAGGCGATTTTCTTGCGCTAGTAATTGGGCCTCGGATAATTCTTCAATTGTGTTATGAAGACCAAGCGCCAGTAGCTTGTCGTTTGAAGTATTCCGCGGTAATCTCAGGGCTGTCTTGTAGGCCATTCTAATTATTTGGTTTGCTTTTTCCTTCTCTTCCCTGTTCATAATTTGATACGGAAGCGAGTATGTAATGCGACTGATGATGAGGCTTTTGACCAATTTTAAGGTATCTTGTTCTCTCATGTCTTTATGGTTGTTTGTTATTCGCGAGATCATGTGTGAGATCTGCTGTACTGATGTTTTGAGTTGATTTAGTGTGTGCAGACATCTCTGATTTGCTTGAAGCCACATTCCTAGTATGCGTACGGTATCTTTCTCCGGAATGACATTTCCGTCAAGCTTGACTTCCAGCTTTAGATTCGGGTCGATCCTCCGTGCTTTTCTCTTCGTGAAGCGAATGAGCTCAGACTTTTTGGCTGAGCACTGAAGACTCCGTATCCTTGCGTACTCTTCTATGGTGCTAGCTGCCTGTTGTAACCTATCTTCTTTCTCTGCTAGGCTGCCTGTGGTTGTCCATACCGTAATATTGTCTGCATATATCTCATGTTGTAATGGATGATAAGAATGACATAGAATAATGCAAAAAGTCACCGCTCCACGATACCCTGCCTCCATCTCGGCATTGTCGGATACTTTTGACGGCGAACAGCTGCTGGTGTTTACGTGTTAAAGCAATTGTTTGGTTTGTTGGTTTTAGACGTTGCTTCAGCGTGCTTTTCACCATGGCCTCGCGATGCATGGGTGAGAATCACGTTGTGACACTTCTGGGAAAAAATAGGAAGCCGCGGATATTTTTTGAATTTTGAGAATAAAGGTTCCTTTGTTTTGCTAGCTCAGATCAGTGATATTTTTTTTCTGTTTCGCCACAACGCAATTTTTTCCGCGCCTTGTCAGTTTAGTAGTAGCGGGGTTCGACTGTATTGAATCTCTGCCTAGGATGAAATGAGTGCTTTCAGAGGCACAAAGTGATTGCAGATACTAAACTGTGTACGTTAAGATGAAGACCATTTTTGAGCATGGCTTATTTAAACATTAGTCCGGCCACATTAGTTGGGTTGTGTGGCTATGTAGAATGTGTACATTGTTACATTGTTAGATAATTTCTAACATAGTAGCTGATAAAGGGCTGTTTACTTAACATAATTTTTTTTCATATGTTGGGGTCTACCAAATGCAGCTCAATAAAATTAAATATTTGAAATCAACAGGTGGCTGAGGCAGCACCCCAACATCAAGAGCATGGTCTTCAGGAAAGGTGTCAAGCGTGCCGAGATCTCCAACATTATTGACGTCTACGTTGGCGGCGTCTTTGGAGAGGCATGTGTTTTTGTTCTTTCTTTTGCACTGTGTTCTCGTGGAGTACTGCAATATACACAATTGTTTTATCGTGTGATGCTTTGCTTGTCATCGCTTAGGACATGCCTCTGGAGCAGTACCAGAACTCTGTGGAGAATCCTGTGCCCCAGCTGACTGAGGTGAGTTTTCTGATCATTGAGATAAGCAGCGTCACAGCGCCGACTCTCGTTACGGCCAATCTCACCTGAAGATGTATTTGTCATGCGTAGCGTTCATTGTAATATACTTTTGTATTTGTGACCTAATGAATGGCAAGAAAGGCTAACCTCTTTATTTTTTTTAGTAGAGTATCTTAATGTAACCTAATATGGGGGCCTTAACGTGCTTAGAGTTTTTTCATATGCATACTCTATTTGCCTGATTTATAATCTTGTTTTTGTAATGTGTGTGTATATCTTTCTACGCTTTTGGTTAAAACGTAAGTTTCTAGTAGCGCGTCGTCCTGTATCCTTTGTGCCTGTGTGTTGTGGCTTTTTTTTTTTCGTGCTTTTCTCAAACATTAAATTGCACGAACTCGCCCAACTGTCCCTGCTAGCTTCAAGCAGTGCTTGCATAAACATGGTCCTTAGATATTTCACTTTCTTTCGAATGCTTAATTCTTTGCGGTCTGGAACCTTTACTCACCTTCCATCCCTTGTAATGGGGGGGGAAAAAATCAAGAAAAAGAACCAACACATAATGCAAGAGAAAAAGCGCATGTGAAACAACCATCAAACAGCTCGTCAAGCAGTGCCCAACCACAAGCTGCTGCGTCATGTTGCATTGTTGATAGTGATCAGCAAAGGGTTTATGAATTTAAAATTAAATGCTGTGGCTGGTGCTTTGGAAATGGACTTTTCATCTCTTGTTTTTTTTCTTCTTTACAACAGGCGGAAAAGAAGGCCTGGATTGCGAAGTTGTCTGGCGTGGCCCTCAGTTCAGATGCTTTCTTCCCATTCAGAGACAACATTGACAGGGCACGTCAGGTAATAGTCATCTATCATGCTTTCAGTAAGTTCTGAATGAACTGGTGGGTGAGTGGGTAGAGTAACATTCAGGTGGCACTTTGGTGTGCTACTTCTCCGTACAGTTCATAGATGGTAGCATTTGCTTGTCAAGAGTGCAAAGCTTAGCTTATTACTATGGTGTGTATGTGCTTATAAACTGGCTTATAAACTGGCATATCTGGCTAGTGCGCTGGATGATATTGGTGTTGGAGGTAGATTTTCCTTGTGTGTCTTTTTCTTTTTTTTTCTTTATGTGTGAAGTCCTGTGTGAGCTACCTTTGTGCACTTTTACCGACGTCAGTTTCGTCCCGGAAATTCAGTAAACTTTCGGTGGACCCCACAGTGAACCACTTTCATGTTAAAAGTTCACACGTATATGATAACACACTGTGCGCTGCTCTGTGTGAACTCCTCGAGCCTCAATATGATCGAAATCCTAAGCAGTATAGACAGCGTAGTTAGAGTAAGGCTAACTTCAGGAGGGCACTGAGATTTGTTCGTCGTAAGAAAAAGGCTGTGGAAGTCACGAGGAGCATTGATTAAAGGTGTTCCTTAGAGCCAGCACTTTCATTTTTCATGCAGGAGTTTAAGGTCTCACTGATTAGCCCTAAGCATAACTTTTAAGCTCCACACTCTTTGTGGGGTCTTTAGAGAAGGCCATACACAAGAAAGTGTAGTACGGCATTGATACCTCGGTGTACGAGCTTAAGTTGTGCACACAAGATTCCTACTTGTAAAAGCTTTTGCTAAACTATGAATGTCTTCGTTAAATGTGCTCTGTGCTGGCCTCTACTGCCTGCTGATGAATTCTTGTAGTACTTCAGGTAGACGAGGCTGTTAGCACAGCGCATTTCAGGTAGCACTAACTTGTATTCCTTCTGCATATTCAACATTGTCGGGGCCAATGCAAGACAGGTGGCTCAATCACTGTGTGCATGGATGTTTTCAGAGTGGTGTGCAGTACATTGTCAGCCCTGGAGGTTCCACCAACGATCAGGGAGTTGTGGAGGCATGTGACGAGTATGGAATCACTTTGGTACACAGTGGTCTACGCCTGTTCCACCACTGAGCAGAGGTGTAGGTGGCCAGAGTATCGACCGCCAGCTAGGCTAAGTCTTCTGGTGTCTGTCCGAATCGTTCATTGGGAATTTGCTGTGGATGCAAACAAAAAATGTTGTGCAGCATTATACACACTGTGCACTCGTCTTCAGATCATGCAAGTATGCGGTGTACATAAATTTTTTGGATATGAAACCCGAGAATAAACATTTTGCAAATTTGTTTGTGTTGGGTGCATTATTCTCTTCTGAAAGCAACTGTGAGAATACAAGCCAAAGAAAGTTGAATTGTGCTTTTCTATTTTCTTCTCGTATACCTGCTAAGAGCAGCAGCGGCCTAGATCATGCGTTCGAGTGCAAACACCAATGTGTGGAATGCACACCATTTTTCCTGTTCAATTGTCAGGTGGCATTCACCAATTTCTGTCATGGATTACTACTGGTGAGTAACTATATATTGTTGGTATGCTGATTGAAGCTGAAGAGTTGAGCGCAGGATAGGCCTCTTTTGCAGTTTCATCATTCTTATTGTATAGTAAACGGCCCACTGCATAGCTGAGTTGGCTCAAACAGTCGTCTGTTTGTGCATCAGTTTAATTAAGGTAAGCAAATATGTGGCATACGCATGTACACAAAAAATTCAGTAGATGCCATGTACCTTGAAAGTTGATGTTAAGCGAAGCATGTGGATGCAAGGTGAATGTGTGTATGTTTTTTTTATTAAGCGAGTCTTTGTGAAGTGGCGCTCAATATATGTACAAGTGCACACACACGCATATGTTAAACAGCTTATGGTTTGTATTAGCAGTAATTGTTTGCGATTGTGTAACGATGCTGATAGCAACATGGATATCAGAAACACCAGAAGTGGTAAGCTTATATAAAGAATTGGTGTTTGCTCTGGGAATCGCGAGGATAGTAGCTCTCAACACTGCTACACAAATGAACCCCAGGCGATGGTGCCTAACTGCAATTGACGTTGATCCTACATGACTGCCGTATCATATGAGTAAATATGTAATGTTTATAAAATTTTATAGCCAGTACTGAAACTAGAGTTGACGTTCCACGAACATTAGGGTCTATGTATTTGCAAAGCATATAATTCTGAGACCTGGCATGGCTCTGTGGTAGAATACTTCATTGCCATGCAGAATGCTAGGGTTCGTTTCCTGCTGAGGCACTCATTTATTTTTTGCATTCGTACGGTCAACGCGGCCTATGTTAGCGTTAACGCTCAAGCATTAAAATTACTCATGTGTGTTCTCGCCGTTCCTGGGTGTAAAATGTCGATCACCAGTGGCACATATGTGCCCTTGGGTATGTGCCACTGTTTCCTGGACAATGCTTAATGTCATACGCGAAAAGATTCTGTTACTACTCTTGTCATGAACAGTGTGGCGTATTCATCAAGTTATTTTACCCTTCTGTACTAGATAGATAGGTAGAGAGATAGATGCCCAAAGTGCTTGTAGTACGCCAAGAAATGCTTCGCATTTAAAAGGTCTGCATTGCATGTTTGTGCATACTTAGGTGACATATTGTGTCTCGAACATGTGTTGCCTTGCAGTAGAGATGGCCGTGCAATCTTGAATTTATTAGAAAATATGCAGAGACAAAAAAGTTGTGCTGTGGGGCTCCCAACTGTTTGAGTGTTGAACTGTCAAAAGTCCGGTGAAATATTCTGGTGAAATATTCAGGATGGTAACGTTTCTATTGCATGCAACTTATATGCAAGCTTACAGTTTGATAAACCTGGTAATAACATTTTCTTTATTCTGAGAGGCAGAAAGAAGGCTGTACGAAAAGGCAGTTTTGTTTGCCTTTTAATAAAGTCGATTATTATTATTATTTTTAGTAGTAGTAGTAGTAGTGAATAAAAACGTGCCATGTAATTCTCACAAAATATCGTTACCAGTTAAATGGATGAAGAACACTGTGTTTTCTCATGAGGTTATGCACAGCTTGCTGGAAGACCCGAAGATGCAAGTACCGAATGCAGACCAACCACCTCTCAAGCGACACTTCATTCAAATGGCTATTCACCTAAAAAAATTTACGACGAGCTAGACTTTAGACCAAACTGGTACTCCGTCTTAGAGAACTGTTTGACCTCACCCTTTTTTGTTGTATACACGATGTGAGAACTCTCCAGTGAGGAACTTCGCTGTGTTAGTATTAGTGTTTATGAGTCAGTTGACGCTTACTTTCGCAATTTGATTGTACCTTTGTTCGCTTGATTTTGTCTTTATTGCCCTAGTGCTTTAATAAATAAAGAAAAAAGACCTGGCATGGCTTTGTGGTAGAAACTTCATTGCCATGCAGAATGCTAGGGTTCGATTCCTGCTGGGACACTCGTTTATTTTTGCATTCGTACGGTCAACGCTGCCTATGTCAGCGTTAACGCTCAAGCTTTAAAATTACTCATGTGTGTTCTCGCCGTTACTGGGTATAAAAGATGTCGATCATCTGTGGCACATATGTGCCCCCGGGTATGTGCCACTGTTTCCTAGACAATGCTTAACATCATGCGCGAGAAGATTCTGACATTACTCCTGTCATGAACAGTGTGGCGTATTCATCAAGCTATCTTACCCTTCTGTACTAGATAGATAGATAGATTCCCAAAGTGCTTGTAGTACGCCAAGAAATGCTTCGCATTTAAAAGGTCTGCATTGCATGTTTGTGCATACTTAGCTGACATATTGTGTCTCGAACATGTGTGGCCTTGCAGTAGAGATGACCGTGCAATCTTAAAATTTATTAGAAAATATGCAGAGATAAAAAAGTTGTGCTTTAGGGCTCCCAACTGTTTCAGAGTGTTCAACTGTCAAAAGTATGGTGAAATATTCTGGTGAAATATTCAGGATGGTAACGTTTCTATTGCATGCAACTTATATGCAAGCTTACAGTTTGATAAACCTGGTAATAACATTTTCTTTATTATGAGAGGCAGAAAGAAGGGTGTACGAAAAGGCAATTTTGTTTGCCTTTTGATAGTTTATTATTATTATTGTTATTATTTTAGTAGCAATAGTAGTAGTAGTATTGTTGTTGTTGTTTAAAATACGTTGACCTGTTGCTAGAAGAACAGTCGCTGAATCGCTTCATGGCATGACAACTACGGCGACTCAAAAATACACGTATATATTATCTTACTGGGCCACTACTGTTTCTGGCGAGCTACCAGTGACTAGGAAGATTCCCGCCACATTTCAAAAATCGGCAGCTTCGTGGAGTTATTGTAGACCATGACAGCGTTCAATAGTAGTGGTAGTAGCAAGCCTTGTCCACCTAGCGACAAAAAGAACAACCTTAGCGCATTTTGAAAAATTATTGTGCACCGAAACCGGTAACCATAATGTGCGCGTCAGAACTGCTGATTCAATTTCGCATTAACGACAGAAATGTAGCGTTGCAGCGTGAGTTTGCATTTGGTTCGTTTGTGAGCTCGTCACTTCCGCTAGGACGCCATTTGTGTTCCGCTTTTGCACGTAACGTTTTGTTGCGGGAGCACAGCAGGTACGGAACGCACGGACGAGCAAACGGCAGGAGGCAAGCGCTGCGCGAAGCTGCCGTGCTATGTTGGGCTTGGATGTAACCGCAAACCAATCGTGACGACTGTTCCAATTCATTCCGAGGCAGTCCACCGCTGCCGGACATTGTGCGTGCGTGTGCGGACTTGCGGGCTTCGAGATAGGTCTTGTCTGTCACGAAGCCCGGGTTGGTTTTGTCTGCTAGGTTTGGAAGAAACCCGGTGCAACCCCCTGCCGGCGCCATGCCCGATATGGAAATAAGTGACTCGTCCTTCTTATAGGAAATCGTACACCGACGGACCGCGCCTGCATCCAGGGTAAGCCCCATTCATTGCGCATTTCGCCGCCGATACGCTTGGCTTCGGCCGTAACAACGTGCACAAGCGTTCGAATTTGCCTTGTGTGCCGTCGGAAAATATGGCATCATCGCACCGCCGAAAGTGCACGCAACGAATCGCGGTTCACGATTTTTTTTGACGCGGCATCACGATGCTCGCGTGTTCCTTGCGAAATGGACTGCCAGTCGCGCCGTTCAAATAACCTCGGGAAGAACGTATACCCCCTGAAGCAACTGTGAAGTGGAGCACGCGTGACGCTGATGTCGCGAGCAGGTAAGGCCGACGCGGGGACCAACTTGTCGTGAGAACACGCTGCGTCTGACCTCGACGTCGATAAGGAGGCAGAACAGCATCCTGCCTTCCTTCGCTGGCTCAGGCGCCGTGCTTCGTCGCAAGGGTCCCCCTACGAAGGGACGTCTTTCGCCTTAAACTCGTTAGACGTAAAACGCGGACCGCTAGTTACACTGACCCAGTGGCCCCAGCAGGTTCCGACACGATCGCGTCTCCAGGTTCTTGTTTGTCAAGCTTGACGCTTTGTTCCCTTCTGTCGCGTAGTGAACGCCGAGTTTGCCTCCAGATGCGCGAAAAGGTGTTGCCATCGAGGCGTTTGAGCGCTTATCGTGCGACGACTACCGAGTCTCTTTTCGCTTTAGTGTGTCGAGGAGCGCGACTCTCTCGCTCGCCTTGAACTGGCCGTCGTAACATGGCAGCGCGTTAGTCATCAACTGTGGCCGTGATACGCGCGAAGAACTGCGCGGAGCAAGCAAACATGACCGACCACGGCTTCTTTGTTGATACGGTATCGTCTGCTGTTGCATGCAGTCGTCTGTAGGCGGTAAGTTTCACGACTCGTGACGAGTGGTGTATGTATGCCCCAGTCTCTGGAAGTGCGATGGCCTTCATGCATGCTTATTGTGATCTAGATAGCGAAAATAGATAGTACAGCGTTAAGTCGCGTTTGTACCGTCGAAAACCAGACTGATCCCCGGTGCTTCACTCGTTTTTTATGCGCAGTGATCGTTTAACAGCTGTTAATAACAATTTTATCATTGTTTGCGATATATAAATGTCTTTGTAAGAGCAGTTACGAAGGGACGCGTTGCGTTTTGTGTGCATTTAAATGCGGATATTTGAATTTACACCTGAAGGTAGTTGCTCCCGTAAGTACAGGCGGCCAGCGGAAGTGTTTCGGCGGAAGCTCTCCGGTTTTGCTTGTGTGTTTATGGCTTTCGTGCACTGCGCTTGGCGGTTTGACGCTGACTTGTATCCTTACCAGCAGGATGTTGACAGTGAAAAGAAAGAAAAAATAATGACACAACGAGTGTTCGGAGGCCAGTGTTTATTCCCCGTTATGAGACGTATATGGCATGCGGCGTTTTCTTCGCATTCCTTTATTCACTAACTTTTCTTGGTGAGGAGTAATTTTCTTGTTAATTTCTGGTTATCCCCTTCTTTCTAAGGCATGCATCTGTCTACAAAAGTCTGTTTGGATGCAAAGGAACCTCGTTTGATATCATGTCCCAACGTGCGTTTTATTTAGGGGAACTGTGATGCGTATTATACTTTCCAGATTTTGCTGTCAATGGAGAGATTTCGAAAATATTCGTCCAAGTGATTACTTGAAAGCGGTTCAGTGCATCCATATGTGCGCGTTGAATTGCCTACTGTAATCCCGTCTCTAGATTAGCCGGTCCACTACTGCCAAATTAATGTTTTTCTTTTCGTTACTCAGTGTGTTACAGGGCACACGTTTGCCTGTAGAGCTGATGAAATATTCCAATTGTATTGCTTCTAGTGGCGTTTTCTTTGCGGATTTGCCACGTTCTGCATATACATGAACATTCTTCTCGTCTTGTTCACTTTCGTTACACCGCACCTATGTTCAGAACATATAGTTCAGTTGTAAGTGACATTTCAATACATTTGGTAAACTACTCAGTGACTGAACTGACTCTGAGTGAAGAGGATGTTGCCCCGCCGCGGTGGTCTAGTGGCTAAGGTACTCGGCTGCTGACCCGCAGGTCGCGGGTTCAAATCCCGGCTGCGGCGCCTGCATTTCCGATGGAGGCGGCAATGTCGTAGGCCCGTGTGCTCAGATTTGGGTGCACGTTAAAGAACCCCAGGTGGTCAAAATTTCCGGAGCCCTCCACTATACGGCGTCTCTCATAATCATATGGTGGTTTTGGGACGTTAAACTTTGGGACGTTAAACCCCACAAATCGTTAAACCCCACGTTAAACCCAACGTTTTGGGACGTTAAACTTCACAAATCAATCAAATCAATGAAGAGGATGTTGCTAGGTGCTACTCTGCAAACTGTCTAATTTCGCCTCTTGGTCGATATACCTGGCGGGCAGGTGCCGTCATCCCTGGTACATGTCACCTCGAAATTCCTCCTCAATGTCTAATTCTGCTGTGGTGGCATTTTCAGCCAATCAGAGGCTTTGTAGCGGCCATCTTCGCCAATCAGAGTGACAACATGGCGGAATACCACAGTGCCCAGAATAGCAACCGCTCTTATATCAGCTACTATCATGGGCCTCCGGAAAAGCGGATATTAATGGGAGGCGGCTGCACCCCCGTAGATATCGGGTATTTTTTCGATGCAGTAGCGATATGATATACACAGCTTGATTAGCACACTGTGGCCCCCCTTATCTGTGTGAAACGGCCTTCAGGATTGTCAACCGACTTTGCACTCCGGCTACCTGTGCTGGAATTCCCCCAGTGCGGATGCACCCTTCTGGAATAAGTTATGCTGACACCCTTACCTATTACCGAATATTTGCCTGCAATTAGCCATTCGTTAAGAAGCATTATTTAACGCTAACCTTTGCTGTTATAGCTACTAAGTATCGATAGTTGAATTCTTTCGGAAATAGTCGTCGTATTCTGTTTACAAAATGTGTGTAGAATAAGCCCGTGAGGGTTTTGTCTTCATATATTTTAACGCTTCGTAAAAGTAAACAGTGTTACCTTTGTCATCCATAATGGTTTTATCTTGCATTAAGCGCTGGAAACCTTATTAAAGGGACACTAAAAAGAAACAATGAGTTTTAGATTGGGAAACTGCTTTCTCGGAACTATAATGCCGCAAGTTACACGGTCTTAAGTTCATTAGTAGTGGCAAATATCAAGTTCGAAGTTTCATTTTTAAATTTCGCGCCGAAATCTCCGCGCGTGACGTAAGAAATTTCAAAATGTATCTTGTATTTTAGTGACACTGGCTCGTTGAATTTTTTTTTGAAAATTCGTATGCGAGGTCTGTGGCACCTACCCGCAGACGACAATGCACTCCAATTTTATCGATTATAAGCGACGTAGGATCCAATAGACGCATTCAAAAGTGATGACGTCACGGTGTTCCGCGCGGGGATTTCAAGGTGGCGTCTCCACGCATATTTTATTTTCGCGCCTTTTCTCGCTTACTAAGCGGCGTGTCGCGGTACGAGATTGTGAAATTGAACTTTACTAATATTTGAAAAAATCGTTTTGCTCTTTGCAGGAACAGTCTCGCACACGCTTAGCGCGTTATGGACACTCAACGCGTTCCATTTACGCCAAACAAATGTCGCTCGGCCGTTGACTGCGATCGCTTGTTTTCGCCAACGTATTTTGTTTGTATCAGTTTGATACTTCGTGACGGTGGCGCCTGGCAGCAATACAGAGAAACAGCGCTTCCTTCCAGGGCAGCTGCTGTGTACCGTGTACTCGGATTTGGGTGCACGTTAAAGAACCCCAGGTGGTCAAAATTTCCGGAGCCCTCCACTACGGCGTCTCTCATAATCATATGGTGGTTTTGGGACGCGCTGTGTAGGGAAGCTGTGTAGCTGCTTCCCTACACAGCTTCCCTATCATCAGCTGCTGTGTAGGGAAGTCAAGTAAAAGTAAGAGCAACAAGAAACATGCTTAGCCTGCTTGGGTCCTACAAAATTCCAGTGACTCAGGATTATTATACTGAAGTAATTGCTTCATCGAATTTAATGGTAAAGGTGCTGCTCGCATAACACTTTCGTAGATAATCCATTCTTATATATATATATATATATATATATATATATATATATATATATATATATATATATATATATATATATATATATATATATATATATATTATTCCTGATGAAGGCCAGACTCTAGGCCGAAACGTCGAAATAAACCACGTTGTGACCGCTCACGGAGGATCTACTAGACTATATATATATATATATATATATATATATATATATATATATATATATATATATATATATATAATATTTCTTCAGCTTAACTTCATTCGATCGCCGCGTTATCTGGTGACTCTTGAAATGCATGGCGCATTCACTTTTAACCGTGACTGATGAGGAATGTACGTTTGACGCAGAGCATGCGTACACCTTTTGGTAATTTTGATAACATCGCGCTAGCATCGGCATCAGCATACGGTAGTTAGTAATATTGGTGAGAAGGAGCGAGATCAGCGATAAGACGATAAGGGTTACACCGGCTTTCTGGACACTTGATCGCTCAGATAAGGCTGATATTGCGTATGTATCTTTACAAGCAAACAACGTAGCAGAAGCAGTGGCCGATCCAAGGGGGGGGGGGGGGGGGTACGACTTTTTTCCCTATAACCTGCGTCAGCATCCCCCCCCCCTCCCTCGCTTCAGTGTTTGCAGGTGCAGTCCACCTGCTATCCAGAATTAGAACAAATGAGTGAAACCACTGTGAGTAGAGATAAAAGAGTATTTATGCTATGAAGTGGTCTTTTCTGCTAGTAAAAACAGTCATGACCGCGCCGCCCTTAATGTGTGTGGCAGGATCCACCCTTAAGCTCAGATTTGGGTGCACGTTAAAGAACCCCAGGTGGTCTAAATTTCCGGAGCCCTCCACTACGGCGTCTCTCATAATCATATAGTGGTTTTGGGACGGTAAACCGCACCAATCAATCAATCAAGGATCCACCCTTGAGCAGTAGGCGCCAGCACACGAGCCTGTTCTCTGCTCTTACGCATCGCAAAGAAAATCCCGTTATATACGGTGCCCAGGGGTCAACGCTTGCGCGATGTTAAAATAAATAAATAAAAAAGCTTGCAACGTTGCACATTAGCTCAGAAACCAGTGGCAACGAGACTATATTGCACGCTTGCCGCCGCAAGGCGTCACAGACCGCATGCATCGGCTTACTATAGGGAATCTTTCAAAAACCATGCATTGCGCAAAAAAAAAAAAAGCCGCACACGATGACTGCAAGGATGACGACATTTGCGCAAACGTGCGAGTTTGCGCAAATGTCGTCGCCTCTACAGTCTTTCGTGTGCTGTTTTTTTTTCTTTTTGCGCAATCCTTTAGTTTCTGAAATAATGCACCAACTAGGTCCTGATTGATCGATATGTGGGGTTCAACGCCCGAAAACCACCATATGATTGAGAGACGCCGTAGTGCAGGGCTTCGGAAATTTGGACCACATGGGGTTCTTTAACGTGCCCCAAAATCTGAGCACACGGGCCTACATCATGTTCGCCTCCATCGAAAGTGCAGCCGGTATTCGATCTCACGACCTGTGGGTTAGCAGCCGATTACCTTATCCACTAGACCACCACAACGGGGTACAACTAGCCCCTAAACGTGTGTCATCAATGGGAAATGATGAAAAAAAAACGAATGTTGCCTACAAGAGGGGACACAGGGTCTGAAGAGGTTACAACTGTTGATGCAAATGATGATACAGTCTGTTGATGCCCCCTCTGTTGATGTTGAACTGTTGATGCCCCCTCTGTTGAACTGTTGATGCCCCCTCATGATACAGTCCGTAGCGGGCCCGAGCCCCCTACAATAGAGTTTTCTACA